TATACACTGCATACTTTTTTCTGTTTCATCCATCTACTTTTATACTCCCACACTAACACCATCACCCATCAACCCTTTAAATTTCAATCTATCTTACTTTTCTATATATTTTTCTTTTTATTATATTTGCTCCCTTTTTTTTATTCTTTTTTATCTGTCAGACGATTAAATTGGTTTTTGTTTTTAAATTACTACTTTTCGTGATACTTTTTAATGTAGAATGATTAAACTAGTAATATTGTTACTTAATACATGTTTTGTTTTTTTTAACTACCAAATTATTTATCAATGAGTATGATAATTAAGATACTATTAGACACTTAAATAAAAAAAATACAATTAAATTCTTTTAAACGCGCTTAACACTTATATTTTAATTCTAAATTTTCTTTTCTTTATTTCTAGGTGACAATCTCGTTACCGTTCTATCAATCGGAAAAATACATTCGGAATAGAAATAGACGTAGTAAGAAAAAAAAAATTTCTAAATAAATTCAAACTGACCACAATCCTTTCTCCTCTAACCCGAGATCATCTCGTCCACCAACCAACTAACCAACCAACCAACCAACAGCTGGTACGAGAAGTTTCTTCATTGGGAAAGTTCCTTCCTACGGAAACGAATTTTCTCGTCAAGCGAAAGAAAAAGAAACAAAAAATAAAAAGAAAATAAGAGAAAGAAAGAGACAGAGAGAGAAAATATCGATCGATGTGGTTGGAAGTGGGGAAGAAGGGGGAAAAAGTAGGGGATCGATACGTCACGTTAGAAAACTTTCCGAAACCTGTAGAGAGATTTTTTTTTAATCCCCGTAAAGTGGGAAAAGATAGGACAGGGTATGGGATTTCTATGGGGAGGAGAAAATAAGAAAAAAAAAAGAAAGGAATATAAATGGAACGACTAATGAGTTTAAACGTATGAAAAAGAAAAATAATAAAAAAAAAGAAATTGGATAAAAAAAAATATGACACCATGAACTAATTGATCGACCGTATCGTAACGTATGGGCATTAAGGCTATTTTATGTTAAAAAGTATAGTGCACATACTGATTAATGGGTGCATCGACATCATCATCATCATTCATTACATTTTAGCCTCGTAGGGAATTGCGAAAGCGTGCCGTGTCAAAGCAAGTGCGAAATCAATCGTAGTAACAGGTCGATGCACCGTACCCAGAATGTGTGTATGTATGTGTATGTGTTTTATATACGTGTGAATCGGAATTATTGGTTCTCTATGAATGTTTAATAACGTAACGTAGAACATATCGTAGTATAACGTTTACAAAGTAAGAAGAATATACGTTTTGTATGCATATATTAATATTGATGAGTAATACGTAGTTAATGATGCTTTAGGATAATACAAATAAATATATATATATATATATGTATATATATATATTGATTTTTATATCAAATAAATAATAATTGGATAAATAAATAAATTCAAATATTTTATAAAAAGAATATACATTCATAAGAAGTGTATACATGTTTAGTAAGATACTAGTCAGTAATATTTCAATTAAATACTTCAGTATAATATAAAATAATGTTATAAGTAATTTTTAAATATTTATATAAACAATAAAATATTTTTTAAATTTGTTTCTTTTTTCACCTACACTTAAATACTAGTACATAATATTTAATTAAGTGTCTTAGTATAATATAAAATAATCGGAAAAGTATTTTTAAACAAATATTTCTTGTGAATATATTTTTTATTTTAATTAAACTTAAAATAACAATCAGTTTATAGTCTTTACCCTTCTTTCAAAGGTTCTTCTTACTTTCCTAAATAGGTCGTGTACTTTTTATTAGAAATTCTCTGGAATTTCAACATACATGCAGTCACCCATCCATGTACTAAACGTTGATTTAACTTCAATGATCTTATGAAAACTATTTTGTCAATGTGTCTACATCATTTTTATAAAATACGAAATAAAAATAGACGGAAAGAAACTAAAAAAAAAAAGAAAAGGATTCCAAAAAAAAAATTGAATTTATATTCAGGAGAAAAAAAAACTCGTAGGGTAAGCTAGTAAAAAATGAAAATATTTGATAAAATTCGAGCCACCTGAACAATACCTACACATTTATACACACATACACATATATATATATATACAAATAAACGTAACAAATTGCTTTTTATGGTGACATCGGAAAGGTATAATAAAGAATGAAAAAAGATCCAAAAAAAAAAAATGAAAGAAAGAGAAGGGAAAAAAAGGGGAACGAGCGTGAGGCTCGCACATCCTCCAATCGAACTTTATACCCACATACATCTATATACATACACATATATAAATTCATATATATATATCTATACATACATATACATGCGTAATCAGCCGTGTCGCGTATACGCGTGCGCGACAAGTTCTATTAACCGCAGGCGGATTGAGTTCGTTGGTAGGCAGAGAGCCCGATGAAACATGAAATTGCAGCTGAATGGAATGGTAATGAAATGGAGGTGATTCCGGGTGTATATATATATGTATATATACGTATTTGTGTGTGTGTTAGTGCAACGAAAGAGCGAAGAGAGACAACCCCATTCCGTTTCCTATATCCATACGTGTATTTTGTTCGGTTGCCAATGTTGAAAAGAGAGGATGAATACACACAGATAAAAGGGAAGAGAAAGGGTGAAAAGAGAAAGAGTAATAATAATAGTAGTAGTAGTAGTCCACGTAACAGCTGATGATGGGAAATTCGCGAAAGGCCTTGTCACGCGTTTCAAACGCTTTTATTGCAATTCCCCCACTCTTTCTCTCTTTCACCTCCCACCTACACCCCATCGTTAAAATGAGTAGGGTGTCCGGTAGGATATTTTGCAAAATATTACAGTAAAAATATATTTTCGTATAATTTAAATGAAATTTCTATCTCTCATATGTGATATTTGAATAATTTACTTATTTAATAAATTTAATATTTATTTATTTTTTTATAAAAAAAAAAATAGCAGAAGCCAAATTGTACACCTAATACAAAATAATAAATTTAATTAAATTCAATATATTTTAATATATAAAAGTATTGTGTATCCCTTAATATTAACTAATTATTAATTAAATTAAATAATTAATTTATAAAAGAATCCAATAGTGTTACTAATTACTATTGAAAATGATTTTCAAATATTATAGATGACTCATGCAAAAAAGAATTAAAAAACAAGTTACTACTATGATGAATAAAACTCATTTGAAAAAATAAAAATAAAGAAAAAAGAAATGTGTGATATCAAAATTGGAAGAAGAAAGATGTGTGTGTGTGTGTGTGTGTGGGCATGAGTGTGTGTTGAAAAAAAAATGGTTAAAGAAGAAAATAAACTAGTAGCGCCCACCTCCATACGAATTATTTTAGCAAAGCGACGAGGAAATTGCAACGATCTCAATTTCCGTGGCACGCATCACCACCGGTCTACATATATGTGTACGTAAATATATATATATGTATGTATGTGTGTATTTGTATTTGAACGTGAATCAGGGCCGACGATAGCTCGACTCGATCCGCTTCGATACGCTTCCCTAACGTTGTATGCTTTTCTTTAGAACCTGAACATCTCGTTTCTCTACTTTTTACTTCTTCTATTTCATCTTCTTTTTATTTTTATTTTTTTTTTCTTCTTTGAAGTGTTCGTTTCTTAACACCAAGCAACTGTGACCAACGATGACGACTGTATCGAAATAATCGAGAAATCATAGGGGAACCGGTGCTTTATGCCGAAATAAATTACTGTGTTATTTTATTTTTTATTTTTTCTTCTTCCTATTTCTATTTCTTCAACATCCAAAAGTATATATATATTATCATGACGTACGTAGTAAACGTGTAAGTTAACCAGTTGACTAATTTGACTAGTATACCTCTCATGAATAAAATGTTATGACCATTATTGGTTATTTAAATTGTAATTATTGTAAAAAAAAAAAAAAAAACATAAACATAATCTCAAATTTTAAAATTAGTATAAAAGAAATTCAAGATTTGTCAATTACTATTTTATTATTATTTTTAGAGTTCATTTTAACCTCAAAAAAAAGAAACTCGTAATCGATCGATCGTAACGACACACAGCGGTGCACATTTAAAAAAAAAAATTGCGCCACAATTTAACTGATTACAGAAACAATTTTTACTAGAATATAAATTATCAATTATTTATTAATTTTATCTTGACAAAAAATTCGCCAAATACCTTAAAGTTCCCTTATTTAACAATCGTCTCGTAAGAAAAAAAAAACAAACAAAGAATCTACTAACAAAATTGTTCCGATTGAATAAATAACAGGTAATATTAAATACAATTAAGAATCGTATAATGTAGTCATCCTTTCTCACTGTAAAAAAAAAAAAATAAATAATAAATATAATAAATACCTGAGAAATATTTATTAACTCCAATTATAGGATATCGGATAGATTGCTATTAAATTTAATGAAATGTAAAACGTAAGACCATCTTCTCCGATACGAGTTAAAAATAATCTCCTATTTCTCTCTCTCTCTCTCTCTCTCTCTCTCTTTATCTTTGTCTCTGTCTCTCTTTTTTAATCCTCTTTTCTACGACACGGTTTTACGTAAGCTAAACGTTCACAGCGTGGGGCAATGATAAACAAAACGGAGTACCTACTTGGCATAAATCGAGCTCGATCCGTTAAATCGATATATCGGTGTGGCATTTCCGTGGCGAATCCGATGCAAACGGTGGGGGAAGGAGAGGAACGGGGATGGGAGGAGGGGGGGGAGACTTAGGGTATTACCATAAACCTTCTTCGACGTATTCCACGCAGTCACTTCGACGCATGTGGACCAAGAGTAAAATAAATATATAAACTTAGCGAACAAGAGAAAGATAGAAATAAATAAAATAAAGTAAAGTAAAGTAAAGTAAGAAGAAAATATACGAAGAATAATAGTAGTAGTAGTAGTAGTAGTAGTGGTAGTAGTTGTACCACACACGTCGAGATCTTTGCCACCAACTCGTAATTTGCATCTTGCTACGGTTTTATCGTACAAAAGAATAAAAAAAAAAAAAAATAAAAGAAGGAATGAATGAATAAAAGAAATCATTCGACTACGATCCCGTAACCTTTCTGTTTGTAAATCCGATTTACCCAAAGTGTATGTGTGTGTGTGTGTGTGTACGTGTGTAATGTCTACAAGAGATAAGAAGATCAGATAAGTATCGGTTAGTATACTTTCTCACATTTGATAGGATAAAATGATTTTTTGACATTGTTTTTCCTTTAAAGATATGTTCAATACTACGATGATGACTATGATTATAAGATTTTAAATTGAAGGATTTTGTATTTAGTTGTTTTTTATTTTTTTTTTTGTTTATAAATTCAGCCTTGCACGTTTGAAAACAACAAGAACAACCAACCAACAACCATGGAATTTGAGATTAACCTACGTCAAAAATACAAAAGGAATAATTTAAAACGTTCGTGTATACGTACAACCAACCCAACTAAACCCATCCCCACTCTTTGGGGTATTTTCTCTCTTAAATCCGATTATCGACGGTGTCTCTGGGTTCTCTCTCGAGCTTACCGGTCGGCTTTGTCAAGTTTTCTTTGCATGTGAGAATTGTATGTGTGTGTTATATATATATATACATGTGTATTTTGTATATGTGTGTTTTGCGTTTTACGTTACATCCACTTGTGTTTCGTGATCTGTCCAATATCGGTTATATTTCAAAATTTTTTTCTATATTTTTGTTATATACTATTATTTATGAACAATATCATTATTTCTAATAACATTACAAACAATTTATTCTATTATAATAATAATAATAATAATAATGATGTTAATAATTATTTATTTATTTATTAACAAGCTTGAACAATCTGTTTGTAATATTATTATGTTATTAATTAATACACGAGTCATTAAATAATTTTCGTATTAATTTTATCTAAAAAGATAATTATCTAAAAAATTTAAATTATTTTAATACTTCAAACCATCAAGTTGTTTAATCTATCTCAACTACATAAATGGGGTGCGATTAGATAAAGAATTTGTTGAAATTACAAAAATAGAATGAATATGTGTGTGTGTATATATATGTGTACTCTATTTCAGATAGGAAGAATCGGTATAGACGATAAAAGCATGGGAAACCGAAAGGGGGAGACTGAGGGGGGGAGGGACTGATATCTCAACAGAGAAACTTCGAATTCTTTCACAAGAGTGTCGTTGAACGTGCTCGATTGGTGTTATCTCAATATGTCCGTCGTTCGAGAAAATACGAGGAAAAAGGGCTCGAGAGATGAGAGTGGCCCTTTAGGTTTACTTCGTAGAACAAGTATGTAATAACAACACGTTTAACAAAGTTAACTGTAACAATAAAATTAAAACGTCTATTTTGTTATATCTATTTTTATTACAATACTTATATTATTTGCAATTGCAATAATATCAATTATATATAGGGTGTCATGTAAAAAAATAAAAGTAATCTTGAAAAACTTATTGCTAATAAAAAATAACTATCGAACAAATTCAAAACTAATTCAAATACAAATTTAGATCAATCAAATTAAACAAATATAATACATGGATAAAATTACTCGTAAATTTGAGAAGACAAAAAAGAAAATGAAATCAAATACCGCAAACCCCTACTACCGTAAAAAAAATAAAATTAATCTTCGTATCTCTCGTACTACGTACTATTAAAGAATAACTAAATAAATAAAAAAAAGAATTAAAATGTATGAGATAGAACAAAAAAAATGTTTGATATATTTTTTCTTTTTTTTTACATAGAAAAATATATTTCATATATATATATACAAAAAAATAACGAATCAGAGTAAACCTGGGTAGTATATGGTACGGTAGATTAGGCAAGCAGTATAGGCAGAATAAATAAATAAGAAAAAAATGGAAAAGTGTAGAGGAAAACGGTGGTGTATGAGGGGTGTGTAGGGGTGAAAGGAGGGATTGGCTTAAAACGGATGGAAATCGGGTCTCGTTAGTAAGCTAGCAATTCTAGTAGCAATTTCGTGTACCTGTTCGCACCAGACGAAAAGGACGAATGAGAGAACTGGGTTGGGAGGGGACTGGCATTGGGTGTTTCTACCAAGCCTTGAGGCTCATTCGTTCCACGTGCGCTTGTGCAATTAACAATACCGTACACAACACCAATACCATCTTCTCACGTTACTATATATATATAGTGTTTATATATACTGTATATTATATAACACGTAATGCCATGTTTATTAGATCGAGAATATCAGAATTAAATCATTCCAGTAATTAATACAACCCTTTTTCTTTTTTTATTTAAATATAGTATCGAGTAACAATAGGTGAATTAAAATAAAATAATAATAAAATAAAGTAACTTTTAGTAGAGAAATAAAAAGTAGTCCTATCTAAACCCCGCCCCGTCCACGATATACAACAGGCACGACTTTTCAAGAAGTGAACCACATTTGCAAACAAACTGGCTTCATTCTAATACGCCATGTCGCAAATAAAAGCAAAAAAAAAATAGAAGAAAATAAAATAGAAAGAGAAGGTGGTAGTTGTGGTGGTAGTGGTAGAATGATATCAACGAATTGCAAATAAGGACAACGTAAAAACGTGATAAAGATTACAAGACGAGATTATTTCTTATCAAGAGTATAATATATTTCTTGTGCTACCTGTAAACGATATTTCTTACTAAAAAACAAGTAGAAATAGAAAGAAAGAAACACACAGTTTGTTGGATAAAATATTACATCATTTTATGTACTAACTTTTCTAACTTCTTTTTTTTTTTTTTTTAATTCATACTACAAATCATACGGAATTATGTTGATAAACTTGGTCGGTTGGTTGGTTGCTTATTGACTAATTAATATATTCTAACACTCCCAAACTCCACCATAGTTATCCTTAGAGAGAAAGGATTAGGAATCGTCTAGAAGGTATAACGATATGCATAGCCTAACAATCAGTGACAAGGGTTGCAATATAACAATTATAACAAACAGTAGTACTAATATATTATCATGCAAATGTAATTTAGAAACAAACCAACGAAGTTATTATATCATTTGCAATAGTAAAACTCAACAAATAATTCCGGTGGTTCTACATTGATGACATGTGAAAACTTTTGGGTAAGTGCTGGTGGTTTCACGTTGGTGCTATTCGGAAATTATCGTGCAAGTGGCATATATATATAAAATAATAATATATAATTAAAAAATACTAAAATAAATTTAAACGATAGTTGTTAAAATATAATCAACTTAGTAAGGTGCAACTAATTTCCTAAGATTCTAACGATAATAATAATAATAATAATTGAACTATAATATAAGAAATCCAATTTACGCGTTAATTCTTGCATCTAATTAGACGCTTGGTCGCCTTCCCTTTCTTGCACGTGTTGGCAGTCAGTGATCGCAGTTTAGAATCAAGCCAAGCTTTTCTCAACCACCACCATCACCACCACTACTACTACCATTACCACCCACACCCACACTATTTAACTTGGTCTTTCACCTTCTTGCCAACCTCTTACCCTCACTCTCTCTCTCTCTCCCTCTCTCTCTCTCTCTCTCTCTCGTTTTCTCTTATTCTCTTTCTTGTCTATTTATCTCTCATGCTGTCTTTCTCTTCAACAGTGCTAAACGAGCTACACTTGCCAAGGAAGAAACCGAGAAATCCACTGCAATGCGCCCACGCGTCGGCTAAAACTCTTGGCGCGACCTCACGATTTAATTAGCTCCCAGATACCTTCCCCTTTTCATCCCCTACACCCCTTATTCTCTAAATTCTACCTTCATACTTTCCTTTCCATCTTCCTCTTACCGCCCAAACTCAAATCTCCGTTTACAAACTGCCATATTATTCTTATTTTTCTTTCTCTATCTCTCCTTTCTTCTTTTTCTATAAAAATATTTCAATGACAATTAATGTTAATAATAATAATAATAATAATTGAAATGTTAATATTTCAAGTGTATTCAAAAATTTACTGAATTATATACTTTAATAGTAACATAAATATATACATATATATATTATTAAGTAATAATTATTACTATAAGTCGAATAAAAGTGGCACGAAAAATGCCCAAAATAAAAAAAGTAGTAAAAAAATGACGTAACAGTATCATTGAGTGATCCTTTTATTATATATTACAACGTTATATTCAGATTCATCTCAGCGAAACGAGATCAACGTTGGAGAGCATAATCGATAGTCGATATTACGCGTATTACTCGTCATTAATAACGGATATATGTTCCTCTCGTAGCTACTACTCGTGCTTATCAATCTTTATATTCTACACAAGTATGTTCAACATTTCTTATTCGTTTACAAAAAGAAAAAAAAAAGAAAAACGATAAACGATTTCTGTCCTTAATTAATATAACGTTAAACATTGAAACGTATTATTTCATGTGATCATTATAAAATATATGTTTCTAAAAGATGATATATGTACACGTAGTGTCCCATTTAAATCAATCCGTTAATACAGAGTGATTCACTAGCTTTTGCAGCGTAAATAGCTCCGAAAATATGACAGTAGCAGAAAAGTGGATAAGCAGAAATTGGATGAAAAATTCAGGACTATAATATGACATTAGTATTTTTATGCTATGTTGAATCATTTTCAAGATTTATCGGTCAACATTGTTTTTTTTAATAGAATGTTATATTTTAATACTCATTTTCGGTTAGCGGCTGAAAAGACGAATTCAACGATATGCCACATGACATATAAAACCTGACAATAACCAAGAAAAACAGTTCGGAAAGTATCTTCACCGTCTTTTGTTGAAACAACTGAAGGTTGTGACGCGACCACGACGCCGCCTGATGTGGAAAAGCTGTAATGTATCCGCCCGTATTTTTTTGCAAATTTTGACCATTTCTGACCTACAAAAATATTAATGTCGCATATTTTTGGATTCGTCTTGAAAGCTGCTATCCAAAAATAAGTATCAAAGTATAACATTGTATTTAAAAATACAAAGTTGACCAATAAATCTCAAAAATGACTCAGCCTAGCAAAAAAATATTAAAGTCATATTGTAGTCCTAAATTTTTCATGCAACTTTGTTCTTATCAATTTTGTGGTTACAATCATAATTTCGGAACTTTACAGGTGGCAAGCGCACTGTATATCTTTAAAATTGTTCATGATTCAAAAAACAATTAATTTAACAAAAGTAGAATGATTTAAAAATATAGGATACCTATTTATTTTATATTATTAGTTAACACATAATCGTATAATTATTTTTTTACGAATAAAAACTTACATAAACCATTTAATTTTTATTTATCAACAACAATATCAAATATATTTAAATAAATCTATTTAAATAGGAACACCCTGTGTATATATAAATTACTATTTCACATATTTAACTATATCTATCTACCTACTTTAAAATTATTATCAAAACTAGAATGATATGTAAATTATTTTTTTACCTTTCCCTTCGTTCACGTTCCTTCATTTTTTTTTCTTACCTTTCTTGATTCATTCGTTTCTTCTTGTTCGATCAATCGATCAAAACTATAGATTCGTTTTAAGTTTATCAAAAAAAAAAAAAAAAAATAGGGGAATCACGAACGCGTAAAAAGACACATAAACGTCAAAAGCATTAAAATCAAAAAAAAAAAAAAAATGATAAAAGAAGCCGTTCCATCTGATTAGGAAGAACCTGATTTAAATCCAGAACGAAAAACGTGCCTTAGCTGTGCAGATAGCGGATGGTTGTACGAGAAATACATCTTGAATGTTCAGATACGACGAGTTCATTTATGAATTACACATACATATATACGTATGTGTGTGTGTATGTATTTTATAGTAAAACGATCGAAGAGGATGTGTCGTTTAACTGCCCACTGAAATCGACCTACTTATTTTGAATATCTAATCGAACATACGATGATATTCGCACACAATTTTAACATAACATAATTTCAATCATAGACACACATACACACACAGACAATTTTCCATAAGAAATTTCTCTAACGACAGGAATAATAACGATAATAATAATAATAATAATAGTAATAATAATAATGATAATAATAATAATAACTATGATCATTTCGACAACGGGCCGTTCAAAATTACCTTTTTGATTATAGTCACCCGTTATAATATTCGTATGCAACGAATAGACTCGCGGACCATAAGGTATTATGCAAAACAGTCACGAGGGAAATTAAAACTTAACTTGATAAGAGTATATTATCAGTTTGTTTTCTCCTCCCTCAGCGCCCCCCACTCAAACCCCCATGAAATATTATATTACCTATCAATTGATGTGATTTTCAAATACAAAAGAACAGATCATAGATAATATTGTTTCTTTTTTTGTTTACGAGTAATGTTGATTTTAAAATATTATTTTAATACAATATTTATTTTTGCAGATTAAAAAAACCCTAAACCCTATAACTGTTGTTTTCCAAAAAAAAAGAAAAAGGAGTATAAAAATCGCAGAATAAAACGTCCCTTTTTTCACGTTGCATTTAATCCACGAAATGGATTTTGAAATTCGAAAGAAACGATCTTTGGGGGTTGAAAGTTTTCAAAGATAAAGTTTCTTAACCATTAAGAGAGAAAATATCTTTTTTGATATCTAAGAATACCTTAAGGTAAAACTTTTACAGTAGTATTCTACTTAATCGTAATAGTTGACTAGATTAGTGAAGTGAAGAGGCGTGTGTCGGCTTCATCAAGATAGTAGATTCGTTAGTAAAGGATAATCTAGTCATCGAAGGGTTTGTTAATCCGGTCAAGTTCCAATCATCATCCATGAATTCCGTTCGGACTTTCCAGTCAGCTAACATAAGAGATCAACGTATAGACAAACTAAGAAAATATATTTTTATACATAAAAATACAGTGCAACATTGTTGGTTTCCAATGAAGATCTAAACTAAGATTTCATCTTAATGATTTATTATTTTGAGATTATCTAAGTCTCAAGGTTTTGTAAATTTTCAATAGATAGCACTGTATCACTATTCAATTATTTCAATTTACTATTTTGTGTGTTGGTATAATTTACTAAATTGTTTAGAATTATATTAAACTAACATTTTCTGACAAAGCCACAGCAAGGCGTCGCCAAAGCATCCTACTATATATATGTATATATCTTATCTCAGTATAATTTCTTACATACTCGAATATCCGAGTTATCGAGAGGAGAACGACTAGCGGGAAGACGAGTCTCACGTAATTGATAAAAATGATAACGCGTCACGAACGTACCGTTTATCGAAGCTTCTAACACGTCGTAAAACGTCAAGCATATAAGTTGGTCGCATTTTGCTATTAGGCTAATTCACGTTGAAACATAAGAATATATTTAACAACCCATTTACTTTAATTATCTGTCTATTATTTTGCATGATTTCAAAATGAACAAAAACAAACCTAATGAATGGCATCTTTTATTCTCATATGAATTAGAAAATTTTATAATTGTCCATCATGTATTTGCAGTGAAGTTATTATAATTTAATTATAAAAAACATAATTTACTAAACAAGTGTAGGTCCTATTGAAAGTAAAATATCTATGTATAGTGTGATACTTATAAATATAACGAACATATATACATGGTGATCCACCAGCACTTACCATCTAAAAAGCTCCGAAAGTATGAAAGTAGCAGTAAAAACAATACAACAAAAGTTGCATGAAAAATTAAGGACTACAATATAACTTTAATATTTTTTTGCTAGATTAATTCATTTTCGAGATTTATTAGTCAACTTTGTTTTTTTAAATAGAATGTTATATTTTAGTACTTATTTTCGGATAGCGGCTTTCAAGACGAATCCAATGATATGCAACATTAATATTTTTGAACGTCAAAAATGGTCAAAATTTGCTAAAAAGTACGGCCGGATACATTACAGCTTTTCTGCATCAGGTGGCGTCGTGGTCGCGTCATCCTTCAATTGTTTCGACAAAAGACGGTGCAGATACTTTCCAAATTGTTTTTATTGGTTATTGTCAGGTTTTATATGTCATGTGGCATATCGTTGGATTCGTCTTGAAAGCCGCTAACCGAAAATAAGTATTAAAGTATAAAATTGTATTTAAATAAACAAAGTTGACCGATAAATCTTAAAAATGACTCAACATAGCATATTAATACTAATGTCATATTGTAGTCCTGAGATTTTCATGCAATTTCTGCTTATCCACTTTTCTTTTACGATCATACTTTCGGAGATATTGAGGTGCCTGGTGAAACACCCTGTATATATAGTTACAATATGTACATCCTATGTTTAACTATATAAGTGCAACGTGTCAGCAACAGGCCAGGTGGTTAGAACGAATGTAACACGATAACAGAGACGCATAAGTACAGACGGAATGTCAAGTCAACCGGTTGGTTAGTTCGTTGGTTGGTTGGTTGGTTGGTTGGTTAGTCGCCTACTTGATAATAACGTTGCTATGACCATTAGTCAAACATAACTATAATATTATAATACCATTCACGTTTCCATCTACTAATACGTGTTTTATCTTACCTTCTTAGTTTAAACCTTGACGTTCTAATTATTCTATGACTATTTTATATTTACTATTATAACGTGGTCGATAATAACATGGTTTTTATGTTTTCTTTATTACACTTTGATAAGATAAAGAAGAAATACAAACAAAAAAGAAGAAAAATACTTGAGAAGCAAATAAGAAAAAAATGTTATAAAAGAAAACACGTGTAGTATAACGTGAACCATTATAAAGTATAGTTCTTCGTAAATTACGTCAATCTAAAAAAAAAAAAGGTTTTTCTAATATTATAAATTATTTCTTTGTTATGATTAATTTTTCTTGTCAAATCTAAACAAATTTTGCTAAGATATTTTAATGTATTTGCATTAT